AAATTAAAATGGCCCACCCTGTACATTCAACAGAGATCCCAGTGGTATTAATGTTCAAAGTCTTCAGGTGAAATCTAAGTTCGAGGCTATTAAAGAACGTATGAGACTCAGTATTAAAAGTAACAAGTAGTGTCTGACTTTAAAAAAGAGACATGGCATTGTTTTTTCTTTGAGCGAGAAAACTTGTAGCGAATTTTCAGATTCAGAAAAGAAAAACATTAAGGTGGTTGTTTCGCGACAGTAATGCTCAAAAGTTTCTTCCAGACAGGAACCAGCACTCAATTATTACAATGATATATTTTGGTGCAATATTGTTCTAAAGATACGCATCTAACAATAAGTTAAATTGTGACTCTCCAAATAATTAGTAAAATTCGTGTGTCGCAAATGTGTCACATTGGAGGAAAAGGGCTAAGAGCCGTGACAGGGTGTTAGTGTCTAAATATTTTATTCTAAATTTATTTAGAAAAAACACCACTCGCTCAGGGTTTGAACCTGGACCTTTTTCTCGCTAGGCGAGCGTCTCAACCAATTCGACCATCGAGGCACACGGCAATATATTTATCGCAATAAACAGTCTAATGTTGATTCCCGAGTGCCACCTATCGTGACAGTATTCGAAACCGAAATCTGCGAGAGGGAGGTCCAGGTTCAAACCCTGGCCGAGGTGATATTTTTTTTGCAATAAATTTTGAATAAAATATTTAGACACTTAACACCCCGTCGCGGCTCTTATTGTTAGTCCTTTATTCCTTCAATTTATATTGCATAGTTCTGAATATAATACATAAGATGTGTTATTAGTTTCTGAGTTAACTTGTATGTTATTTCATTACTTCAGATTGGATTATTTGAAATGGAAAAGTATTATTATAAATCCACATTGTTTAAATTCATAAGCTGAAATATGAATATTTTTTGACGACGACTACACAATTCTTATAATAATATCTTGTATTTCTTTCATTGTGCTTGGAAGAGCTGATTCATAGATAGTAAGGCTCGGTTGTACCAACGTTGTTTAACTTTAAGCCTAGCTTAATCCGTTCTTTGTCTCTTTCCAACTGTTACTTTAGAGACAAACATAAATTAAACTGCGATTAAAGTTAAGCGACGTTTGGTGAAAGTGGGTCTTGCTGTATCAAAATCGCTTTTAAAAGAATACCACGAAAATTTAACAATTCAAAACAGCTCATCTTCTGGAGAACCTTGCTCTTTAAATTACGTCATTTTGTCGCGGCAAATAAACGACATGTCGTAACATTACTTATTATTCTCTATAATGTAAAAGAAAATAGAAAAAATTTATCACATCCGCTTGGCTCCACGACCGTCATTCTTTTAAGTTAGTACTTGAGTGCCTCCAATTACGCCACCCGGTATATTCTCATCAAAATATCGACGGCGCGTAATTTTCTTTTTTTTTTTCTAAACCTATCGCTGCGACAAATCGTCGTTTATTACAGTTTATTACGGGCTGAAATTAGCGCGGAATCGACCCGTTGTCGATCGATTCCGAGCTCGAGCTCTCCCGTCCGCAAATCGGTAATGGAACAAAATCGACCAGATACATTTAATTACTCCCGTGCAAATGAATTGGGACAATCGACGTCTCGGTGAGAGCAGCGCGAAGGATATTTAGTAAATGTAATGCGGAACATAAGAGGCAAATTACGCGACGATCTAAGACCATTTCTGTTGATTTTCCTCATCGAATTATATTTGCCTGTCGGGATGTTTCGCCAGCAGGCGCTAATTCCGCGTAATTCGAATTTTCAGTCCCCTTAAAGTGTCCGAGGATTACTTCTCGCCAGATCCAAGACGTCGGAGCTCCGATTGAGAATGGCGGACGATCCGAATCGCGATATCCTGCCCGTGAGAGACGGCTCCTGCGCGGACACGATTATCAGTGCCATAGGTTTGTATTTGTTTGTAATCCCATTTGGATAATTTACGGTCAGCCGTTCGACGCTCCTCCACGATTTGCAGCCGCATTTCCCATACTTGGAGCACATAAATTTCCCCCTCGCACGACGCTCCGCAGAATTGAAATCGATAAACGGACTAATTTCCTATTTACCTTTGCGCGAGATATTAATGTGAATAACATTTTAAATGTCAAAAGACCCCAGGGAGCGTCACCTCGTCTGCAAGCTCGACCGCTACCAGCTGGAGGACAAGTATCTGCGTTTGCTCGAGGAGGCGAACAATCTGAAAAAATTGTCCAACTGTCAGGAGGATAAGATCAAGCGGCTCGGGACGAAGCTGATCAGGCTGGCCGCTAATCCGAGATCGTGCGGATTGGCGTTAGATATTGCCGACGATAGGAATCGAACGGCCGCTCTGGAGCTCGAGAATACCAAGGTATAGACTGCGCCTTTGAGTAACGGCGATTCCTCCTTCCTCCTCGTCTCACGACATGGTAATAACGGGAGTTTCCTCACGGAAGAACGGCGGCCACATTCGTAGTTTTTCTCTCTATATATTAAATTTCATCATATGTTTTAACGAAATTAACGTGCGGAAGATTGTGTGATTATAAATTAGTACACGGGGGGAATTTTATGAGTTTCTTGAAGTTTTACCATGCATTTCACTAGCAATTGTACTTAGTATACATTTTACTAGTTGTATAGTAAATTTAAAAAACAAACTCGTAAGGTTTCGCAAAATGCCACGTTGTCCCACGATCACGTGATTTTCAGGATAAAGAAGATAAAATTGTCTCCGCGTAGCGTGCGGAAGATTATGCGATGATAGATTTATTCCTAAAACGGAGATGCTGTGCTAAATATTGTTAAATGTTTCAGCTGAAGGAGAAAATTGCCGTGATGAGGAATCAATTGTTGAGTCACACGATGAGCGGCAGGTCGTCGTCGCGCAGCCGTAATCTCGTTAGACCATCGTCTTCCGGGTTTGTGTGAGTATACGTGCGCCAACACGTGCAATGCCACTATGACTCATTATGTCGCGGCGCATTGAATTACTGAATCGGCTCCCTCTAGGACGTGTCGAAGCGAGAATAACCGCGCGAGAGCCCCGTCCTGCCAGTGCATCGTCGGGGCAGGGGACGATGATAACGACGTGCGAAATTATCTCGTTAAAATCGAGGTAAAACCAGTCCAGAATGAGCTCGAGTTGTTTGCACACACGTTCGACCGCGTGTATTGTATCCCATCCATTTCGCCCGCACAGCACAATCGATGTTACATTTCCGCGCGGCGGAGCAAAGCGAGCTTGCGGGATGACGTAAAATAGCAAGAGATGTAAAATATTATTGCACGAGTTTCTCTGCACGATTTGCATATCACGTCTGAGCGATTGTACAGCTTCACGACGACGCAGGCTTACCCGTTATTAATGCCGGGCGCCATAATTTCTGCTCAGAGTCCGACTTTTGTTCGCAGAAACTGGAGGCGCAGAAGAAAGATATGGCGTGTCGTATAATGGAGCTGGAGAAAGAGCTGGAACATCTGACTAATAGTCAAAAGGAGAAAGTGGCGGAGAATGTAGAATATATACGAGTGTGGCGGCAAATGAAGCAGCTGAGCGATAAACTAATGACGACTCAGGAGAAGAACACTGCACTCACCACCGAAATTACCGACTTGAAAACTACCCTCAAACAATCAACGAGGTACCATCCATTGATCTCTTATCTTTAGAGATATAATAAATTGCTTAATATATGTTTATAATTTATTATGAAGAAATGTTCGCAATGTGTTTCTAATTTGAACATTTTCATTTTATCAGAAACAATCTGGAAATCACGGCCGTTCTCTCGTCGGAGAGAACGCGCATAGCCGAGATCGACGACCAGATGTTGAAGGCGAGGCACTCACAGTTCACGTTACGCGAGAAGGACGAGCAGATACGGGATCTTACGAATGAAATTAAAATATTGCAGCAACATAACAACGAACTTATTGTGCTCACCTCGAAATACGGGCAAGTCGAATTGGAGAATGTTGAATTGAAGAAGAAGTTTTGCGACGACACGCAAGAGCAGCAGACCTTGAAGATTGCATTGAGTTCTGAGCAGGTTAACATTGTAGCATTGAAGACCGCCAATGAACGGGTGCTCGCGAAACTTGAAGAATTGCAGGCAAACATAGATTCCTTGACGGTACAACTAACGGTTGTATACATTTGTTGTATATATTTTAGAAATTGCCTGGCGCCTGACTAATTCTCAATTTTATCATATTTCCAGTCTTTACACACGCAAGATAAACAGCGCGATTCTACGATAATAGTACCACCATATAAGGAACAATGCAAAAAGTGTTGCGAGATGTACGATAAAATTGTGCAGCTGGAGAAAACTATCGGCAACACTCGGCAGGAAGATTGGCAGTCGGCGGATAAATCGGTACAGACAGCCGTCGTTATAAACACGAGAGAGCAGGGTACAACGATAATTTCGAATACTGAGGACAGAGCGACGTTGCAGTCGCCACTGAAGGAGTGGAAGACGAGTCAGGAGGCAAACGGCACGAGTATTTTGTCGCGAGAAAAAATACTAAAGCTGTTGGATCAGGCACAAATTAACACCCCTCTCGATGCGTCGAGGATCGCACCGAAGGAAGAATACGCAGGCGTTTTGGACGTAGCTCAGAGGCACAGGCAAGTCGTACCTCTCGAGAAGCTACTATTCGGTGATTCTAATTGTTGACAAAGACTCTACCATTCGGTATTAGCGATAAATATATTTATATTTTACAAGTATAGCAGTTATATTCTTATACAGTACGAATGTCTAGCAAGAAAATTGATTGAATATTGTGTCGATACTCTTGTATATATTTATGTGCGTATATTGTGAACGACACATGTGTTTGTTTTTTAAACAGGGACTTTCTGCAGATTTTCTCGATTCAATTATTGTAATTGGTACTTTATATTTTGCATCCCTTGTGTCGCAGGTTTAATCAATAACTTATGCATTACAGAGAAACCTTGTGTGTTCAAAAATCTACGAATTTCTTAATATTACAAGATAAATATATACATACATATATTTTATATATTCTATTTACTTAAATAAGTATACAGTTGTAACAGCTTTTTGTACATGTGCATTATAATATTCTATTACTATTTTGTATTTAATCTTGTTTCGTCTTTTCCATCTTTCATCACTTGACAATTAAAGATTACAAAATTTAGAGTGCCGCAATATCATCACTAGTGTCTATTACAGCGCTCGGGAAATATCTTCTCAACGTGACACATCAAACTCTGTGCGGACGAATTCACAGAAAAAACTCGCATGTTTGGAGAATTCGAACATTACGCTAGGTCAAATGTTTCTGATTTTGTTCGACATTTTGCAAGAACTTTTATTATTTACTGACGCCGACGAGAAACCACGTTCGAGTCAGCGAGTGTCTGCGGTCGGGAATCCATTAATTGACGCCAATAACAACGATCTTCCTGCGATAACTGCTCGCGATATTAAGCAACGTGACTTTAGTGCAGGAACAACGAAAGACCTCGGTAATGATGGTTATATAACGGCGATCTGAGATCTTTTCGTGGACACGGACGAATGCAAAAGCGCGACAACGAGCGATTATACTTGCAATAATTTTGTTTTCTATAAACTGTTATACGAATTTAGAATCCGATTATTGTTGTACGAGACGTTCTCTCCAATCGACCGCCGTTGTCTCCAAGATGTGCGATTTTGCATGCCAGGAAAACTCTACAACCATTTTAATGAGAGACGCCAGTTCATCGATGAAAGACATACTCGATGCTGCTACCTTTCCTGCGACTCACGAGAAGTACAGAAAATCATCTTATCGAGATATTAGTAAAGATTTCTGCGTAAGCAACTGTCATAGTTCCGCGTGAAGCATTAGACTGTGGCGTGGTATAACGCTAATAATTTTTATTTAGGCGGAAAAGACGATCAAGCTAAAAAGATTAAAATCGCCGCGTTATCCCAGGTGTAATTTAGCGTGTCACTTGCGCAAGACGACAGATCCACTGTCCCTGCAGGAGAAGCGCAAATTGCCCTGCAGAATCGAATGTTTGAACGACAGCGTGAAGCCAGCAGTGGGCCCAGTGGAGTCCTTTCCTTTATTAATTACTGACAGGCAGGGTCTCGTTGAGATTCACATCTCGCGATTGCAACTTTCTACATCGGTTAGTATACATACAGTTCGTACATGTGCGCATACATACGAGATAAAAAAAACTAACTTTTACGTAGCTTTAATTTTCTTTATTCAATCATTTTATTTCCCACTCGGAAATTTATGCGGATATTGATTATCTTACGTCGACTTTTTCTCACAAAATAAATTATGGATAAATAACTTCTCGAAGAAATTAAAAAATAGTTTATTATTCATCTATTGCATGTTGATTTCTTATAGCAATGCAATGTACCGTTTATTTTTCCAAGTGGAAAACATAATTTTGTTGTGCTCGCTGAGATCGTTAGGTCGCAAAGATCCCGAACGAAGACGATATATGCAGTCTTCACATTTACGTAAGCTGGGACGTTTGGGGCGAGAAGACCGCGTACACGCCAAGGATGAAGTGCCCCAATCTGATCTTCAACTCGTCCTCCGTGTATCGCATAGCGGATCTCTTCACATTCTTCAAGAACGTGCTGTCGGAGCACCTCGTATTCCGAGTGAACGTCGCTCGCCGAGACTGCACCAGCTACACGCTCGCCCGAGCAAAAGTCTCCATCAAGGACATCTTGGATTATCCGCAGAACAAGTTGCATTACATCGTTCCTGTCAACAGCGTCATCTCTTCCCTCTTCGGCGTCAATTTCGGCCAACTCTCGCTGTGGGTCCGGTTGAGCTGCAACGTCGACATGGTGGAAGCTTTCAAGAAACAATGCGGCATAAGTTCGTCGAAAGATGCTCTCTATACACCGCCGGTAGAAGAGGAGGAGAGAAATATATTACCTCAGAAACCTCTTCCTCGACGTCCAACGAGACATATCGTTGGCACGGTGCCCCTCAAAGATGAGCAACAAAAGGATAGTTTGGTGTCCGAAGGTCCAATGGATCGAAACACTCAACCGTCGACTAGCTCAAGTAACATTGCGTCACCGCAATTGAGATACTGAATTGGAATTTGATTTGAGAAATCGCGATTTACTAGATTGTACCTTCTTTGTGAACGATTGAGGCCCGGTTTCGCCGACGTCGCTTAACTTTAAGCTTAGCTTACTTCGTTCTTTGTCTCTTTCCAACTGTTACTTTCGAGAGAGACAAACCTGAATTAAACTAAGATTAAAGTTGAGCGACGTTTGGTGAAACCGGGCCTAAGTCGATTGGGATCGCATGCCGTTAGGAGCAAGCATATTATAATCAATCGCACGAATATTACGTCTTGGCAAATTAAATTGTATCCATTGCGCGTTAAAGAACTCTCAGTTAACGTCATATTATCAAAATCGCAGAATTTCAAACTCACTTCAACTCGGATGACGAAAATGATTACTCGAATAATGAAGAATCGTCTTCGTCCATCAATGAAATAAGTGAAATGTCTAAAGAGACCGGAATGACTGCAGCGAGAAGGTGAGATTGCTTCCTCACATTGTCTCGTGCTTCCTCACGCTATCCAAAATTACTCGCGAAATGTAATTTCGCAGCCTGAAGAAGTTGTATAAATAATTTTACTCAGTCCAGATTCCAAACCGGATAACAACAAGAGAAAGGAAAGTAACGCTTTGAGGGATTCATCGAGCATGGCGGAGTTCAGGACGTTTCTCGCGAATGTAAGATACGTTTAGCAATGTTACGGCAAACTTCGTCGCGGTTGTATGAGAAAATAGCGAAAGTTCCAGTTTTATCTGGAAATTATCGAGATTGCGGACGTATTCAGGGCACTTCGTTGTCCGAAGGATCAGGCAGCACGATCTGCGACGTGGGCGAGGTTCTCTCAGACAGGGACTGGGAGAGGTACAAGCGGAAGAGTCTGCTGACTTTCCCCAGTACACTTAGTAACTAATCACGTCTGCATTCGCATATGCCGATTGAATTATAGGCTCCGAAATTAGTCGTCCGAAAATACTTGCAGGAGCTATTTCGTTAAATGTGGAAGCGCAGGATTACCGAAATGACACCTCCACTTGCGTACGAGACTGTTCCATTAGTTATACTTAAGATCCTCCACGAAGAGTGCTGGATTACAAGCATAAATTTCCCGTGTTAATGCCACTGAATGTATTTCGTACCGCCTTCTTATTCACCGACGAAAGCTAAATAGCAAATTAAGCCGCGGACTTTAATGTTTTTAACGCTCAATTAAATTTTATCCCGGATCTTATTTCACGCGAAAACTTAAAATGTGTCCAAGTAAGCTAATAGAATTTGCCGACGAAGACAGATCATCCGTAAATTTATGGAAAGATATATTGTTATTACATTAAATCGTCATACTTTACGATCAGCAGTGCCTTAACAATTCAGTTGCGCATGAGTTAACACATTGTACACCAGCACGTTTTTGATGGCGAAGCAAATCTAAAAATATTTTTCGAAATTTCCAAATGTACGTGATATTGTCCTTAGAATGATTTAATGCAGTTCCGATTCGTACGTGGTCTTTTCAGAGTCACGAAAAGGATGCAATAATCATAGAAATAGTGAGCATGCGGCTTTTGGATGAGAGTTACGTCATGCGGGACGATGAGATACATTTGCTTTACGTAGAGTATTCTTTCCTCGGGAATCGCGGCGAAGATATGGAGACCGTTTCCCTGGAGAAGCCGAAAACGGCCGACCAAGAAATGGTCTACAATTATAAGAAAAGTATATTTCTTTTCTTCATATGTGAAAAGCAAATATCTTCCTGGTTGATGAAGCGACGTGTCTTTAAATGCGACGTAAATTGATAAGCGAGAACAATTGTATACTATTTAGAAAACGTGTGACATATAAATAGGTACAGCGGTTTCGTAATTTTAGAATTTTGGATAAACGAAGTGACACATCCCATGCAAAGAGACAGCTTGCGCGCAATGTTAGCCGAAACAACAAGTCCGGATATCAACTTTACTATTCTTAGCGAACCGTTGCCCAAGGACAGGGAAATTAAAGATTGCGAGGAGATCGGGTGAGTAAAATGGTTTCCTTTATTCGGAATCTTTACGGTGTTATTGCAAATACATAGAAATCCACAGGGTTGGGAAAGTTATTTATAAAAGTATCTAGTTGCAGTTACAGTTTTTCGCTAAAAATGTAAGTAGTTACAGTTACTCAAAAAGTGCCGAATCGTTATTTTGCAGTTACTTTCTTGCGATAAAAATTATAATATCAAATCTGCATTTGAATTGTAACGCGTTGATACAGGCGTTTATGTACAAATGCACGACATAGTGCAATCTGTGAAGGTTTAAAGTATGGATAAAGTAACTATTAATGTAACTGAAAATGAGTTAAGTTACAGTTACAGACGGAGAGAAAGTTACGAAATTAAGTAACGAAAAAAAGTAACTGTAACTGTAACTTCGTTACAAGTAACGAGTTACTTCCCGACTCTGTAAATAATCATATTTCATAGTCATACAAGGTTTATTTTAGAAGGTTAGAGGTTTTTTGATAACTAATCTCTCTCTCTCTCTCTTTTCCTTTCTAGTTGTGCAACTTTTAATGTAAAAAAATACGCGCTTGATGACGAGTGTAAATATATATTATTGCCGATCAAGGATATTCGAAATAATGAAATTGGAACGCTAAAGGTTCATATTCAATACGTGCATATAAATTATGTCTTTGCTAAAATCATAAGATCTCGTATTGATTGTTAAATTTAAATTTATTGTAGATTGCTGTGTCCGGTTGGAATGTCATTCGGCAGTGTTTACCCGGATCAAGATAGTTCAATTGCGATGGATGCTAGCAATGCGAGAGGTAAATGTTGCATGAGAATTTAAATTGTTAGAAGACGATCGTATTGAAGTCGAGAGATCAGTGCTCTGAATCAAGAAGAATTTAACTTGTAATCATATGAGATTTTATTCAAAATTGTCTACATATTTGTCTGTATATTAAACTACGTTGTCATGTCAGTACCGACGACGTTTATTAATCTTTGAAGAACGCAAAGCTCGCTTTCGTATGTTTATATAAATTATTGCTGTAAGAGATTTTATACTTTTATCGGGGAGCTGAATTTCTCTATCAACGTGTTGATCCTCGTTTTCCCAGTTGCTCGTGTCTTCGTTGTATTACCTAAGTCTTCTTCTTCTCTGCTTTATATTGATTCAGCGTGCTATTTTGCTGCACTGTACTATTCGTCAAGATCTCGGCCGCGTTTCTGTTGTCCCTGTTACCTCTCTGAAGCAGCCGCACGATCTCACGGTGTCTCCTTTGCATTTCTGACGACAGTTTAGTCCGGCGAAATATATCGTTGTAGATATTTGTAGCTATCTGAAACTCTCTGCAGTCCTGCGGGCGCCGGGCGATCGACCAAACCCCCACTATCGTGTCGATACCCTGGCACACTCTGCACGCACCTGTATCGTCGTAGATCTTTTTTTGAAATTGTTGACTGGCTCCCCGCATTGTGACACGCCTCGGGAAGAATTAATTTACTCCCGGCCGCGTGTATTCGTACCTGCGAATACCGCCAGAGACTTGGTGCGATTGTCGACGGCGAGCAAAGAAAACGGTCCACCCACTGCGAACGGCGCGTATCCGGTCAGGTTCCAGGCGGAGTCCAGCAAGCCTTGATGAGCGGGCGGAGGCGACAATTTCGCGAGGGTCACGTTTATGGTGCGATTATTTACTTTCATGTCGATTCGCACTCCACCCTGGGTGGTCACCCACGAGCCTGATATCTTGCAAGGCAAACCTGATCAAGATTGTTGATGAAAATGTTCAGCACTAGTTTGCATTAAGTCGTAGATTCCCGAGGTAGAATTTTTATGTTACCAATAGAGCTAGGGAACGATTTCATTTTTTCTCGAAGGAACTTACAAACCATTCGTTGTTTGTCAATAGGACCCTAGTAGCACAGTGCATTGGCTAAACATTGGCCCAATACAACCAAATATTGAGCCAATGTTTAACCAATGTTTGGTCAGTGCACTGTGCTACCAGGGGAGTGGATATATTGACTAGTAAAAATACTGAAAGCCCATTGATATTTGACGCCAAGTGTCTTACTAATTAATTAAGATTTAACATATTAAATTAAGATTATACAATAACCTTCTATCTGTTCATTTTCAGTGGCTCGGTTTGACTTAATCTCCTCCAATTCGTCGACAATCTTCTCTAATATCTGATTGGCGACTTCCTTCGTTTCATTTAATGTCGCGGAGACATTCGCACGTTGAATCTCCTCTGTCGCTTTCACCGCGCTCGCGGGCGTAAAATTGTCACCCGTTGATTTGTCGTCTGCGCTACCATTGTCTTGGAGTTGTTGGATAATTCGGGCGGCTTTCTGGTTTGCCTTATGATCTTCCTGCGCCACGGCTTGCTTCTGCTCGTCATTGTACCAATTCTGTTTGTACCAAGTGGCCCCTCGATCGGGAATTAAGACATGTTCTATTGGCCGATTGACAGCTGATTGAGAAAAAATCGGGGCGCGATCGGCGGCCTTGCGCATGGTTTGTCTCGCGGGAATGACAGGATAGACATAATTATTGGATAAAGACGCTGTCCCGGGCCCGGCATCCGTCTCGGCGACGTATACGTTCGAAGTGTTTGGAATTTTACGAAGGATGTGCGGCACATCCATCGAAGCGCCGGAATAAAGCACTTGCACCTCCTGGGGTTTGCGTATCTCTGGCGCAATACTTAAATTTGAATACAGACGAGGAACGCTCGGCTTATTCTGATATCGCAGCACGTCGCTGGGAATCTGTTCGACCTCGATTCGCGGATTGAACACGGTGTTCGCGCTGGTCGTAAGAATCTCCGCCAGATCAAGATCAGGGCTGATAAAATTCTCAGCGGGAGATTCCATCCCGCTGGCGTATATGTTTTCCTTAGGCCGATCAATGCTCGACACTTGAAACTGATTGAACGCCTCTTGAGATACCCCGGGAATATAGTACAGACTTCCTGGATTGATTTTCTGATCGGTTAATATCGGCGGATACTCGTCATCTTCATTTGCTTGAGCGATCACAGAACGACCGGTCTCCCAGGGTTTCAACGAGTCGTAGTCGTAAGTTAAATCCCTGTCGTAGGAGTCTGCGAATTGCTGCTTGAATCGAGGCCGCGAGTGATTTTCGAACGAATTGCCGCCAAGAACAGAGCCGTTCGAGATTTGCCTGACGAGTCTGTCGTTTCCGATCTCCGTTTCACCTCCTTTTGCTTGCGTTTTAGTTGATTCGACACCGCCATTCTTGTAATACTCGGAATATTCGTCTCCTTGATTGCCCGAATTCTTTTTAGAATTCTTCGTTAAGCGTTTGGTCACCTCGTTTGACGGCATTCCGTTCATTTTTCGGTATCTTCGTCTTATGTGCGAAGACCTTACGGTACTATCTCTCGAGCGATCGTCTTTTTCACTTATAAAGTTCCGTTCAGCAACTTTACTTCTAGTCATTGAGCTGTCGTCATTTGTAGCATTTTGCTTTACTCCAAAATTAATAGGTAGTTTAATCTTCCGTCGTTTCTTCTAAACAAATAAATATTAAAAATTAAATCAAGATTCAGATAAATAGAGTATTTTTTCGCACTTTAGATTTTTCTTCTGCATACCTTAATATGATTTCGCTTACGTGGCCGAGGATGTCTTTCGCGCCTTGTCAATCCATGTTTACGTTTATCTTTCTTTCTCTTTCCTTCAGGATTCACCAATTTGCTCAGCTTTTTCTTACTTACTGTAGGTTTAAGTACACTTTTCATTTGATCTACCGATAAGTCTTTTCTCCCCTTTGAATGATTACGTGGAGCTCCGCTTAGATTTGCTAATTTCTTTATATTACGTTGTAATTGCGGCGCTCTGAGAGCCTCGTTCGCCAATTTCTGTGCTAAGGATTTAATCTCCTTTCGTTCAGAGTCGTCAAACCTAGCCATCAAATCTGTATCTTCGTCGAATCTTTCATCAGAAGCTCGCTCGTCCAAATTCGATCTCTCCACCATCGCTTCCTCCCTGCACGCGTCATTGTCCTGCGTGCGGAACGAATCCTTCGCAGGCGGAATAACCGATTGTACGAAAGACACGTCGTTGCAAATAATTCTGACTAATAATGGTATTATCATGACGAACCTGCACAGTAGAAAATCGCGTGTTGAAATGTTAAAATTGTCTTGTGTTACCACGATTTGATTATTATTTTAATGTAAAATTAACATAAAACAGACATGTTATTATTTTCGTAGCATTTTTACGTATTATATTTATGTTAACATAATAGCCTGACACTTTATGCACGTCATTTAAACATTGAATATCATTTTGAATTCTTTTAACACTACTATTTCACAAAATCAACCTAAACATGTGACGTCGACATTTCTTAAAAATTATTTCGAATATTCTAATTTGTAACTATTTGTGCAGTTCACTTATCCTGTCTGTTTTCATTGCATCGCACTTTAGGTTAAGAGAACATAAACGTAAATGCGAAGTATAGTTGTTAATTAATTAACATTTATAATTTGTCAAAGAGTAACACACGCGATGAACGTTATTTTAATGTAAAATTTAGAGTGGACTTTTTGGGACGTGTGAAAAATGTTAACATTTTATTTTCTACCGTGTGTGCAAGCATAAGTAAAAGCCTTCGCGTACATGTATCGCATCGTGATAAAATTGGCAAATACCCGCCAAAAGGTGTACGGTGCCAAGAATACCTGTAGCGCTTGCTTACGTTCCTTGGTATCATTTACGGGGCATTTGCTGTTCTAACGAGAAGATCTTTCTTTCCCTTCTCTCGTTTTTTAATTCGGGATTTATGTGTTGATCGTAAGCTCGAGCCTCGCGCCTTCGCGCTTCATCGGCGAAACCGAGAAATTGCACAATTCTTTTCGCTTCTCATCATAACCGTATCGATAGATGCGTAGATAGAAATGTGCGTCCGATAATCGACACGTGAATGATGCTTTCTTCTCGCCGATCTCGTTTTGTCGCGGACCTCTTCATTAGGTTGAACGCGTTCTCACGTTGGATTTAGCTTCTTGTTTCGTTGGTACCTGGCACAAAATTCAAGTCTTCAAAAATCCATTCACTTCTCCACTTCTAAAAAAGACATGTAAGTCGATTAGTCGCATATCTCGAAGTATCGTTGCCGCTTTTCCGCGATGCCGATAGGTTTTCTCGAAGCGCGATGTGCTTCACTTCTCTTTTAGATTCATAGTAAATGAAGATTTGCAATTTAGAAATGTACATTTGTATACACCAACTATTGAGATAAAATCTCTAATCTTAGTAATTATAATAGAATTTAAGTGACAACGATTTTTGTTTCGAAACATCTTCTCGATTGAACAGAATTAATCGTCAATTTAATCAATACCAATAAGTGCGCAGAATGATACACAGAACGTAGTAACAGCCGCGAACAAAGTAATGTAAAATATTAAGAACGGAATTTTCCAACGAATTCTCAACGGTTTTTGTTGTTTTTCACTCGGCGCGGTGACGTACGATGTTTTTGCGTGCCATCGTGTACCTGAAGGTCGCCGCGCTATCACTCGCTCGCCGAACGTCGAGCCGGCAGGCAGTGGCGAGAGTCGCTCCGTGCGTGTTATTACTTTTGCGTTATCGATTTTCAAGACTCGTTCGCGATGAATATAGGGATAAAACGCTATTGATTTGTACACTATTTATCGCTGGAAATTTCACTCACATAATTTATTTCGAGGATTAGATTGAATGACAAAGATTATAAAATATCGTTTCGTTGCTGACTAATAACTACTTCTTCACCGCAGATTATGCTTCCGATGCTCGCGTTGCGTTTTATATCGCCAATTGAAAAGCGTTTTATCCCTTATCCTATTCTTCCGAATAAAAAATGCACGTTGTTAGTCTGAGTAACTTGTATGACAGAGAGTCACGCGATATTTGTTAATAATATTTCGTGCGTTTCGCGGTATTTCACATCGCGTACGGGAGTGCCCGAAATTTCGCGCGATCGATGATTTTCGCGAGTGAGTGTTGTGTCAGTGCAACAAGGGAATCTGATTATGAGAGGAGGAGGAGGAGAAGGTCCAGGAGGCATCGGGCAACGGCGGAGAAATGGTGAGGTAAGTGTCTTACAATTTAATATGTTATTTGTTACTTGTGCAAAATAAAGCATCTGTTCTGTGTTTTTATTTTATTTATTCAAACGATTCGAACGAGGATTCGAATAAGTGTTAGAGACAAAACCATACGTATACAATTTTGTGAGTTTATATTTAAAAGAAAGACTTTTTCGGTATCCTATATAATTATTTTAATAAATATTTATTTTTAAAAGTATAAAATATAAAGTATATTTAATACAATAATTTTGATTTTACATAATTAATATATAATATAATATAATATAATATAATATATAAAATACTATAATAATCATATACATTTTTGTATTTTTACAGTTCAACATATATTGTTAACGATGTACAACTCTGCTGTTGTGAATCGTATCAGTGAGTGATAAATTACTTTTTATTATAAATTGACGTTGCGCATACAATTACTTCTTTGCATGTATACAAATTCTTAAAAATATACAACGCTCAACCACAAATTGCGCGCGCGAAGCGCGCGTTTTGTCATTTCTAGTTTTGCAACTAAAAAGTATAAACAGTTAATTTGGTTATTTTAAATATTTTCAAACTGTAACAATGGCTTTTTCTCGTCAAAATATTTTATCACGTTTGGATGGTGTTAGTTGCAACAATTTTTCCAAAATAATTAACGTTTACACGGCGTTAAATAATTAACTCGCAGCGCTGTACCGTAACAGATTCGGTACACAAATAGATCTCATCTGCTCCCAATTTAATAGCCGCGTATAACGAAACATCACGGCTGATTAGTAGCAAAGAAATCGCAGCCGGTATAACGCTGCTCGGGCGTGTAGCTGTCTTGATATATCGATTTGGATCCGTGAAGAGAAATCCCTGGAGGGACGTGTAGGCATCGATTATTATTAGAAGCGGCTGAAACGCGGCCGATCGACTGCGCTACGAATTAGCATGCAAACCCCATAACAATAGTTCCGCAGTAGTCCCATTTTAGCCGTTCCGTTTGCGAAACAAGAATTGTTTGTTAAGAAAAATAAAAGCATTTTGTTCCATATATGCTGAGCAGAGAAACATTATAAGTGTTACATCGTTTCTTTGTATCTTCGCAAAAGTGGATTGAGTAACAGAAAATAAAAACATTGAATAAACTAGACGATGCTCAATAATGTTCAGACTAATACAAAGATTTGAAAGAGAATTTTAAGAATAATACTCCATCAGTTTCTGTTCTCTAATTATTCCCGTTATCGTTGTTGTAGATTAAGATGACGGTAAATTGTGTGAGGACATTTTCAGAAGAAATTTTTGGAATTGGCGAATTATTAAATATTTTTAATATATTTAGTATATTTGTGTGTGCATAGGATACACTGACGTATTCATTGACGACTCACACTCCACAATTAGCGCAGAAGAGAACTTAATCGGGCAATGACTACACCGGCTCAAATGTAAACCCATTTAAAAATAGGAGGCATTTCATTATCTCACAGGACCCGATGTGCGAGGGATAGAGTCAAGGTATCGCAATTAAGGGAGAAAGATGTAGGGGAGCGATTCGGAGCACACCACGTCGAGGACGCTGTCGATGGCGACGAGGAGGTAGAGAAGAGAAGAAGAAGAAGAAATTGCGCTCGGGCATCGGGACGCGTTGTCGCTGGCATTGGTAGCAGTCTCGAGATAGCCGTCGGCTGGCTTCCTCACTGGCTCGGGCGATTTATTCGGGGATTCCTAGGTAGCCGAAGTGGCGAGCGAGCGACTCGGCGACGTCGACGGGGATCAGCGAGGAAGATCATCTCGCATACGTAATCCGATTGCTTTCCTGTTTACGCGCTAAAGCCGGTAATTCGAGGGCTGGTGAGTGAAGAGCCGAGGCAGTCCCGAAGGTCCTGGAGGTCAGTGCACAGCTCCTCTTTCTCTCCCCTCGGGACACACAGCTCTCTTCTTCTTCTTCTTCTTCTTCCCCTGATCGCGTTTCCCTTTCTGGCCGTTGTCTCTTCTTCTTTCTCTCGTCCGTCCCGTGTCAGCTCAGCTCGTTGGTGCTATTTTCGCGCGAGTGTGTTGTGCAAGTGTCGAACGTTAGCGTTAAGGTGCCGATTCCGATGTAGAGCTCGTTCGATAGGTCAAGCCGTCATCTTCTATTCTGCTCGCCGGAGATATCAGCATCTCACCCCGTCCTACTCACCCTGCAGGGGGTGATTCGCTGCAGGTCGGACATGTATATTATGCTGTGTTTATGAATGTTGTGTACAAGTATAATAAATCGTTAGACCGTTGTGGGTGGCCGTCGTCTTCAATGATCGGTGGTGAGAAATCGATGTGACTTCATTCAAAGTCTGATCAATGCTATAAATGTTATAAACGTACGGAAACAATCTGTCTACGTCTTCACGTCGCGCAAGACGCGACAGTTGGAACGACGGTCTGTGTAACTGACAATTGAATATTACGAAGAAAAGCTCCTTCGTCAACACTGAATCATATTAATATTACACTCTGTCTGTCGAGATTTAAATGTGCCAGGATTAAGATTTTGAATCGATATGCTTGTCATTGCGAGAAGAACCCGGAAAAATATGGAACAAATCTCATTATATGTCTCAATCGTGTGATATCTAATTATATCTCATGAGATCCAATTCTAAAAATCATGAGATCCTCAGAGATTTGAGACTTTCCTTGAATTCGACGTTGTCTATTGAGATCTGACTAAATCTATAATTAAATGTCCTAAGAGAACATAATTAGATCTCAATAGACAATGACACTGAATATTCAATAAAAGTCGGATCTCTGAAGATCTGATGATTTTAGAATAGGATATAATTAGATATTACATGATTGAGACATGTATAATGAGATATTTCCATTTTTTTCCCAGAGAGAACTAGTCGAGTCACGGAAATTGCAGCGAATGACATACAGAATTGACGCAACAATAAAAATATTACGATGCACGCATCTATTCGTTGGACTGCCCGATTTGTTTTAAATGACAGGTATAAAATACTGACATTCCG